TATCGTTATTTATCGATGAAACTTGCCAGCAATCGTAAGTGAGAATAATTCATGTGTCTACACTTGGTGAACTTATTAATTATACCCGAGGGAGATGGTTTTCAAACCTCAATCTTCTCGGAATATCCTTTACCGAGAACAGAACGGGTTGGTTGATCCGGTTACGTAGACTCGCCGATAGCAAGAGTCTCCAGCGTCGCGGTACTATAAACAGTTCGTCGTTCGCGAGAGTCTAAATGAAAACAACTAGGTAGTGGGCGTCATTCCTAAGCAGCGGCTCCCATTAACATTTGTCCGCCGCGGGTGTAGTGCCGATATTAACGAATCATGAGGTAGAAGAGAACAATATGCAAGTTTAACGCCAACAAGGGGCTTCGAGTCTCCTTTTCTGGTCACCGTCGCGACTCTTTTGTTTGCCGGAGGAATTCGCTGACGGCAGATTTCGCTGGAATCGCGCGATTACGCGCACGCCTTGAGATAAATCAGACAGAGCACGACGAGATGAGGCAACGAATGTCGTGCTATTTGATTTTGCTCTGGTTTGCGTCTTGTTACCAATTTTTCTTCATTCACGACAACAAAATAAAACTCCTCGGAAACAAGGTGTCCTTCAGTCGCTCGTGTGAAGAACGGTTTAAGCTGAGCGATGAAGTCCTGTTGCAAACAATCACGCAACATTTCGTACAATTAATCATTGAAAAGGGTATGATAAAACGCGCGCGTGTAATATAAATAAAACATATTTTTATTTATGCAAAAATCTAATTCATAAATAATTCTCGTAAGCAACAGGACGAGTAACATGATTATCTATGGAGAAACACAGAGAGAGAGAGAGAGAGAGAGAGAGAGGAGCATTTCCTAACAACAAATACGGATCATTTGCACGCGAGGTGACACTTGTAAAGGACTGCAGTATCGAAAAATTATTCCTTGCATACGTAAGGCGGTGACTCGTTCTCGGATGTGCGCGATCTCTCTGACGTGCGCAATATGCGACGTTATGCATGCAAAATTGGAATTGTTTCCTGCGATTAAATTACATGAGGCGCCGTAACGACTTAACTCATAGTTTCTTAAACGTCGTGTGCGCGTGAGCGTGATGATCGGCGGCGCGACTTAGCACAGTCGTCCGCGACATAAACGATATTTCTCCGGGACGATCGTGCAGCCTATATTTTGCTTAAATGAACCGTAAGATAAATACGCGGCGACAAACGCCACCGTCTGCTTCCGTGTTTTATCTGTCTGATATGGAGTTTAACGCCGGTGCAAAACATGAAAATCAAAACGCTCGGTGTGAAATTAGCATCTTATTTGACGCAACTACTTTTTACGATAGTTCTACAGTTCCCGGTGGAACCAATTCCATCGAATTAGTTAAGAAAAATAACTCTGAAAATGTGCCAACTTCTCATGGCGTCGTAAACTTAAGAAAGGTCACATTTTTTAATCTTATATTTCATGAAGAATTCTATTTCTATTCTTGATTCTTGTTTTAACGAGAGTTTCAATCTTTTTTTACTATTCTTTAATAATAAAGCGTGCAAAGAGGAGGAGCCCCCCCCCCCTACCTACTCCTTCCTCCGAAACGTCTTTTTTCGTTCGCAACCACTACGAGCTACTTAGTCGCCATTTCACTTTTTACGAACGACTGTTGTACGCACTGAGGGTGCATTTTTTCAATTTATTACTGCGCTCTAACTGTTCTGCGATTCCTCCTTATTTGGCAATATCTTCGTCGATGCGGCTTTGTTATCGCGAAAAATTCTTCCATTGCGAGCGCAATGTCCCAGCGAGAAGTATCGGACCGAATTACACACAGTGAATCCAGAAACGAGAAAAGCCTGGCAAGGTGACAAGGGAGAGAAAGAAAAAAAAAGGAAAAGAGCGTAGGAAAGGCGATCTCACAAATCAGACAGCGAGAGCCGGCATCGACCACCACCTCTCCTCGTCTCTCTCCTCTCGTCCGTTTTCTTCTTCTTTCCCTTCTCCTCGCGCGTTCTTTCCGCGTATGCATCGTGCGAGCAAAATGGAAATAGGGGAGAAAAGTATCGCGAACGTAAAAGAGGCGAACGACGGGTCCCCTTTTCCGCCTCCGTCGTTGTATCCGGCGGTCTCCGGTCCGAAAATATGCTGTGTACACCGGTAACTCTCTCGGTGTGCTATGAAAATTACGTTTGTATCCCGTGGGTGATCGGGGGCAAAAATCCGAGCCGGACTTTCGATAACGCGCTGACAGAGAGTGCTCCTCGCTGGACAGGAAGGAACGTGATCCAATCAGGTTTTTGACGTTTCCATTGACTTTCTGTACACAGACTCGGACGAAATGTATCCCGCGCTATTCCGTTGCAACGGTGCGCGCTTCGTCAGTAGTAAATTAAATTATATTAAAACCGTGACGTGACGGGTGTATTCTGCGCTCTCTCTGTAGTTAGTCTCTCCCGTTCGGGAGTTTAAGGACTCGCACGATTAATAACGGATTGATTGGACGCGAGCGCCCGAAATTTTGGTCCAGTGTTGAATCTTTCATTCCACAACGTAATAGGAACTAAAATGGATTCGATTCTAATGATATAATTTGCACACTCTGATGATATCTTGAATTTCCGTTTACGCTGTTTTCAGCGTTAAAATGGAGATTGTTTTGAATTCTCGTGTGAATTTAATAATTGAAATAACCAAAGCATTGAGCAAGTTAAATTAGAAGAATGAAAAGTTCAAGAGAAAAGTATCAAGTAGTTAGTATCGTCAAGTATATACCTATCGGCAAAGTAGGTTTCTACAGGCCTTATTTAAGTGAGCACAAACCCCGAGGGATTGGTAGGCGTTTGGTAGGCGATTGTTAGGATTTTTTTTTTTCAATTGAAGGACATACAATTCTGAAGTTTTACATAAATATTTATCTATGCTATATGTATGCGGTAATTGCTACGCATTATTATCTTCAATATTAATAAAGTGACAAATAATTTTGCTGGCGCTAAACTAAAAGTTGATGGCTACTACGATTTCATACGCTTCTAAAAACGGTAAAAAATGATTGTATCGACCAAATCAATATATTTCGGCTTTTTAAGGACTCGTAATGTTAAAAAATAACTAGACAAAAATCAATTTTTTAAATCGTATTACTTTGTAAAAGAACAATATTTACTCTCCATCGTGGTAGAGACGACGGCCTCGTCGCCGCTCTTCCTCGACGAAGAAGAAGCGCGCGCACTTTCCGCATGCTGCGTCATTATTTTCGGACGACGTTGCGTTCTTACTTATCTTTATTACGGTCGGCGGATCGGCTTGTATTTTTACAGTTGGCCTTCGAGCCGTTCCAAGTCTGTGTAACGTAAACGTCGATGCATACGCGAGTCCTCGTCATAAATGTTTACAATCGACCTTCGATCGTATAGCTCGTTACTCTGAGGCCGCCGATCGTCGTCACGTACGCGTAGGAATGCTTCGGGGAAGGAACTTGGTGTAACGGAGAGACAATAGCCACACTTGGTCGAAGGACTCCTTCTTTCGCATCGCCGAGAGGATTCAACGAAAGCGACGTACGTTTAACGCCGCGCCGTCGACGAACGATCGCGATTTCCGAAAAACAAATAGACGGGGCGTGAAAGAGAGAGGGCGGAGGTAAATCGAAATTATCTGCGTAAGCTGGATGAGAAAGGAAGGGTCAACGAGAGAGAGAGACCGCCTTTATGGCGGCGCGCGTTAGACTTTTAATTAAAAGCCTCGACGTTCTCTCCGCGCTGCCCCGGTATTATTACCACGTTCCTGCGGGACGTTTGCGTGCCATCCACCAATTTGACTTCTCATTTACGGAGTGTACCGCGAATAATGTCCGCATTGCAATTACTCGGAGCCCGTCATTCAGCATCCTGCGGTACACCTCGCCCTCTAATTATCTATTGACAAATAATCGATTTTCAGCCGGAGAAGATCAAGTAAGCGCGCTTACTTACACGGCCGGCTGGCTGAATGAGCGTCACTGGGACGGATTTGTACAAAGTGTAAGCAGAGCGGTACAGATGCGTCGCCACACTCGCGCCGGCTCGAATCCCGGCGGCTCGCTGTGAAGTCGCGATGACGCAACGACAAAGTGTGGCAGAGGTTGGGAGTATACGTGTCGCGCGGCCAGCTGGGCGGGAGGCCTTTAAGTCGCTCTTGCGACTTTCTAACATTTAACGCAATTTCAGAACTTGTTCGTTAATCACATTTTTTTATGTGATTTTAGTTCTGACTTTGTTTTTCAGAAACATTCAATTGAACGCCACAAGATGTTGAAGATTTATACACACAGATGCAACACTTCTCTATCAAAGTACACGATTGTTTCCTTGCTAAATCATTATTTCGTTTTCATTGACGCTTCTAGAAACTAGGATTGACATATTACCTGCATTGAATCACATTATTTTATACATTAATGAGTTAAAGGGTATCGCCCGTAAGGTAGGCCCAACCGATCGACAATACTAGTTTAAGCGGAGCCATTAAAAATTTGTCTTCAAACTCAAATGCAAATAGCAAGAGCGGAATATCCTATACACAATAGTTATTGTCTTTGTCCTTATGTTACGAACTGAAAGTTATTTGCATTGTCTCCATAGCGGAGCCCTCGAGTTTGAAGACAAATGGCTCCGCTCCGGAGCCCTCGAGTGCAAACGGTGAATTAAGGCTTTTCCACCATCGCCAAGGTATACTACTTTATCGACGGGCAGTATTTATCGTTAAGTTTTGTAGTCCCGGTCTGTTTCAAGAAATTGACACGGTCGAATGTGAATTGCCGACACAAAGTAACGCACGAAAAATCTTGGCGATCGGAAAGACACATCGGGAGCGGCGGTGTAACGCCGAGTGATCAGTTGTACGCAGTTACGGTACACCCACGGGGCAGTCGCGGTCGGGTGGCATCGGCCGGGGCGACGTAGTCGCGATCGCGACCAGTCGAGCCCGACCGAACGTAGCCGACGCAGCGCGGAGCCAGCCAGTCCGCGGCGACGCACGTAGTCAGTGAGTGACGACTCCTCGGGGCGTCAGGTTCTCCGCGCGGGGGATGTGTCGTCGCGTCGCGTCTCCTGGCGAGCCACGTGCGCGGCGTGACAGGCGACGGGCATGTGATTCGGTGCTGTGTTCGTCACCGACCGCGCGCGAATTTTCATGGATTGAGTAGCCACGCTAAGATTTTCGCGGAGAGACTTTCGACTTATCGCGCGCTACGAGAATAACCTGTGACCGTGTAAATATTATGAATACAGGCGAACTGCTCGCCGGTTTGTCGCTGCTGTAATCGAAACGACGAGAGAGCGAAACGCATGTCAAACACTTGGAAAAGCGACGAGAGAGAGGGAGACGAAAGAGTAACCGCGCGGGAAGAGAGCGGAAACGCGGAGAGGAGATAGAGATTTCTGGGCACGCGCACTCCACCTGCTAGCGTGTAGTGGCACGCGCCATACCACCCCCGTCGTCACTCTCTTCGCCCTCCTGCGCGCCTCTTCCTCTCTCTCTCTCTCTCTCCCTCCCGCGGGAATCCCCTCCCGTCGTTCCTCTCACGCGTGCCACGAAGAGACTGGGACGCGCGGGAGTCAATCGCTCGCGGTCTTCGACAGGGCGAGCATCCTTGCACTCGGATTCGCTCTCACGAGCTGCTTGGAGAGAGAGAGAGAGAGAGAGAAAAACAAACGTTCGTCCGAATTGCGCGAGTGCCCCGGCGATACACAGTCGCCGAGAAAGAGTTCGTTCGAGCCGTGACGTCGCACGACGACAGTTGTCAGCCGATGTATGAAAGAATCCGGTCGCCTTCCACCGCTTCCTTGTGCCGTGCGAGGAGGCAGGCGCGCGCGATCCCTGTACTGTAGTAGGCAGCGCGAGCAGCGGAGCAACGGCGAGGACGACGAAGAAGAAGTAGCGGCCACGTGGAAACGCAGAGGGAGGGGAGCGTTCCTTCCAGCGATAGACGAAAATAGTCTCGCGCGCAGAAGACGTACACACCGGCCGAACGAAAACGTAGAGAACGGGAGATCGCGCGCGGTGTCACTCGATGTGCGCGCAGCAGTGAGATTGCATCCGTCTCTTCTTCCGCGAACGAGCCGATCAGCTGTTCGTCGGTCCGATCGTGAGAATCCGCGGAAAACCACCTGTTGACGATTTACCGATCGGGCCGATAACGGTCGAGCGAGGAAATTGTGATCTTCCGTAAGCAGCACTGTTTCCGACCGTGAAGACCGAATGAGTTGCTAGCGAATGGCCGCGACACGCGGCGCGAGATAAGCTACTTTGCCGGTGAATTGAGTTCACGGATTGTGCGGAAGTGCGCACCGCCTCGATGTTAGTGCGTCGACGGGGTGATAGCTAGTCAAATCGTTAGAATGGGCATTATGTTATCGCATGTTCCGCGCCGCGAGAGGTGGTGACATTCAACGAAAGCGCCAGCAAATTAAGAGAGGACTTTTCCCCTCGAAATAACGGTGTAACCATCGCATCGAACGTGCGCTTTTTCTTGCACACGTCATCGCCGTATGACTTCGTTCACACGTTGCGACAAAGGATTCTGCGTGACGAAGAAATTGACGTTTACATCGGGTACAAGGATGCTGTGCTGTTTCCTCGGACTACAGTAGAAAGAACGTACTGTGAACAGTCGTTTGACAAAAAAAAAAAAACATTTGTCACGTTGATACGACAGCAGAGGCACATCAGTGGAAAAAGTTGAAGGCCCCGGTGATGGGTTCACAACGACCTTTGCGTCTATTGTCCTCTCTGTAGGAAATTTGTCTTCGGCCAAATGGTTGCCACATTTAACTACTTGGAATGATGGTACGTGTTTACCTTCTTGTCAGCACAGGTAGCAAGCAAGAGAGTGCTGCTTTATAAAATATTTTATACGGCTTGAGTGGAAAACGATTTTATATTCTTTCATGTTATCGCGAACTCCAAATTATCCATCGGGGTTATCGTCGATTATTGACATACAACGTTTATTTCCAACGTATAAATTTGCGACCGTATGCGAACGAATATAAGAAAGTGGTGGTCGAAATGTTAAGAATTTTTCTGTAAACAATGGTCCACTGAAATTTTTATCTCACTTTAACAAGTGAATATGTTAATCTAACATATGTTTCTGTACTTTATATTAAAGTGATACAACAATTTCAGTGGGCCGTTATTCACATAGAACCTTTTTATCCCGTGATGACAGTGCGATTTTTTAATCTAACGAGAAGATGATATATAATGCTTGCCGAGAGAAAAATATTTGTAACTATCATCATGGTGAAAGAATTATAGCCAGGAGAACCATTTTTCTAGCAAGTGCTATGGTCTAGTATAATATATGTCAATAACTTTGCATGCATATTGCTACTATTATTATTTTTGTGGTAAAAATCATAAAATTCAACAACATAATTCTACAAGAGGACTCGTTGCCTCCAATAGAAATTTTCTCCAGAGCGAGATACGAGACGAGCTTTATAGGAATAACTGATTAAAAATAAGGATCGATTACTTTTTTATTGATCTCAAGTTTAAATCTTAAGTGTGTTTTGCCTGAAATCGATAAACGTAATATCGCGAGAGCTACTCGATCTGACTAAAATGTTTTTTATTCCCTAATCTTGTAGATATTTCCGTTCAGGGTGACTAGTTTTCTTTTTATCAATTAAAAATCCCAAATTTTAGGAAAAAATTGCGTGTTTTATTCCTCCGCTGGTTTGTTAAAAATGCATTGGTAAAAATCCTTGTTAAGTGCTATGATATTTATCGTAAAGTGCGTCGAAACAAACACGGCCTGTACCAATCGTATTAACGAAGAAGCGTTGGAAAAGTTTTAAGAAATAATCGAAAGTACAATAGTTTTAATAAAAAGATTCCTTTTTTTTATTTTATTTTCTTTTAAATAAGCTCGAGAAAATCAGTTATTTTTCGTCCGTCCAGTCTACTAACGATTCTTCGATTTGCATGGCAGGTTTTTTCGTGAAATTTCGATGCACGAGGAACGTTGCCTCAGTAGTCGAGCGAATAAGATGCTTTGTCTGGAAGCAAGTAGAAAGTTTCGGAGTTTGATTCCCGATGAAGACACCTTTTCCCCAATTTGTAAAATTACCACGTGTTATCCTCAACATCCTGATTATTTATGCATTTATTTTCGTATTATCGGTAAGATTTTCCGCTAACGGGAGCATTAATTACCGCGTTGGTTTGGAAACATAGCATACAATAATACGAAGCTTCATTTCGATGATATCTTTCAAAATATCTTCTTTTTTGCTAGTATTGGCGTATGATCGTTGACTAAAGACCGCTTCAAAACAATGCATTCAGCACTACGAAAATAATTTCTTTGTTTCTTTCACACATATTTAAATGTAGGAAGTAGTGTCCACGATGCTAGAACTGAGAGTTGTTAGCTCGGGTATAAAAGTTACCGGAAATTTACCAACATTCTCATAGTAGCTTTCAAGCACTATCTATCAACGTAAAAAGCAAAACTCGGACCGAGTTCTAGGACCGTGGATACTAGTTCTTTTTTCAGGCCGAACAGACTGATTTAATTTTCTAATGCCCCCCNCCCCCCCTTCCTCTTTCGCAGGTACTAGGACTGTAGAATAATCTGGCATTTTTCGAAAGTAACTTGCATTCACCTAACCTCCACTGTATAGTACCTCGTGCCGAGTCAGTAACCAGTTTGAGAAGCGTAAAATATCTTGAAAAGCATACATATAAGGAGAAAAACAAGCATGCCTCACTCACTTTTCTTTGGACCTGCGAGGAAGGAACAACTAGGATTAGAGCAACCATTTCTGTGCCACGTCGACTCTCTCTTCGTTTCCTTTTGTTTTTGAAATCGAGGTATTGTAAAATATTATTGAAATCTGGATTACATTTTATAGTGATTTCGCAGTGTGTCTCATAACGAGCGTTACTAGTTGGCGTCAAGAAAAGTGATTGTTGTTACCACCTCTCGTTAATCGAATCAAAAGACACGGGATTAAGTCCGAAAATTCGCGTCTCTCTTAAACGTTTCTGGAACGATCGAGAGAGTTTTACGTTCCGTGTAAGAGAGCGGAAGTGATTCACCCTTTCGATTCCGTTCACCCGCCGTTACTATAAATGTAGGCTTTATTTCCGTCGTTCGTGGGATCATTCCGAGGGCGCGAAGGAATATGCTTTCTCCCCTTCGGTAATTTTCCTCTCGCCGAGCTCAGTAGGCAAGAATCGTTCTTAATCTGGAATCAAGACTCACTAGAAATCCTTTGTTCGCAACATCGTACTGACAACAATCCATCGTATTAGGGAAGAAAGGAAAGATTCTTTCGCCAAAGTCAACATTGGCCGTTCAACGAAATGTCGCACGAGGACCGGATGTTTGAACGCGGTATCATAAATTTGATAATATCGTACGAAGGCTGCCGACGAACAACGCCGCGCGGCCGATTTTCCTCGTACAGCGCGACGGGCTAATTCTGGCCGCGCGTTCGTTCATTCGCTCATTTCAACAATTCTTCCTTCTCTCACTCTATCTATCACAGGGGCAAGCCGCTGTAGGACAATAGATTGACCGCCGTCTAACGGCATCTCGGCGGTCGAGTCGATAGAAGCATCCGCGTGCGGACATTCTTTCTCCTCCCCCTCTCTTTCTTCCACATTCTCCCCTCTTGATGCACCGGGGGGCGTCTGCTAAAAGTTACACTTCTCGACGTATTTTTCTGCCGGCGGCTTCCTGTAGTTCAAAGGCAATCTCTTGGCGAAACGGTTCCTTTTGTTTATACAATCGGTACAATGGGGTTGTGAATAACGACGCTTACGGAAACTTATAGGAAAGTCACCTTTGCGACGCCTATACGTTACCTGGCAAGTCATGATCGTTATAAAAAGAATTTTTGCGTTACCAACGAATTTACTGTAATTTCGAGCGCCTTTGAATTCGTTCAGAGTATAAAAAGTCCGCGACGTATAAAAATCCGGATTCCGTTATCTTCCGCGTTTCACCGATGAGTCAAAATTAGTCTGGCGATATTAACGTAACTGTGCTTCCAGCGTGGTTTGCCGGCTTCTAGTTCACAGCTATTATCCGTGTAAAGCCAGTTTTCCTACTGGTCGATCTATACAGGCGCGCTGAGAGAATTCCAATTTTCTTACGATCCTTTAATTACCGTTTCTCTCACTCAATCGCACATTAAGTCGACGCATTAATCTCGAGCTGTAAAGTTGCGCGCAACATCGCGGCTTATTCGCGTCACTTAGAGGCCAATTAACATTAATCCGGAGAATAGCTTAACGAGAGTAAAAAGAACATTTACCTGTGTTACGAATATTTTCTCAATGCGCATTCAGAAATCAATCTCCAGAGAGAGGGGTTTTTATCGTGTTTCGAGTGAAAATTGCGGGGGCGCCGCGTGTCATAACAGGGGATTAAGCCTTGCACGCCTGGCTGCGCGTCGGAATTATTTATACCACTTGATTACGCGCGCTGCGTTGCGCGACGGAAACGAGCGCGCCTCTTCGTGCGATCTCGCTCTATCGGCGATCGCCGACGCGGCCGTTATCGGGGCGACGTCAGGAGCACGCGCGATAACGAGGACGACGACGATTCGCGGCCGACGCGTACTGACATTGAGGAAAGTCGTATCGCTCGTTCTTTTTCTCTCGCTCGGTCTGAGTATTATTCCCCCGCGGAATTCGACCTTGAGCTCTTCTTTTAACACAAGACTCGCGCCCATATCGATGCATCCCTGTATCGCGCGATAATAATCGCCTTTTTACGTACCGACACAATTCTTGCCGACTTTCTACCGACGAGTCGAAATTTCGCCACTCAATTAAATCTGGAATTTTACAAGTAGTGGTAGAGACGAAAATAACAAAAATTGACTTAATTCTAACGATGTAATTGATTCTTACTTTGATCATGATGAAGTTTTGAATTTTCGTTTTCGCTCTTGCACAACTAGGAGAGTTGTTTTAATCCGGGAGTAGTCATTTTTTTCCCCAATTAAAAGCCGCTGTTATTAGCAAAATATATTATTGAGATGTAGATTTACTCGCTATTTTTCGAAAAGAATGAGAAGAAACAAAAAAAAAATGTAAGAAACAGAATAAACGCATCAAGTGCCTTATTATGACGGTATTTTTAATGAATAAAGATATCAATTGAAAAAAAAAAAAAACGTTTTATTACCTATTTTCGACGGGACAAGATATTTTAAGGTTCATAAAGGATCATTTGTTTTTGTGATTTTATAAGAATGTAAGGCGAACCAATTCTTAAGAGCGTGAAAGTTTCGATTCGTATTTCGACGACACGCGGATTAAATTTTGGCTGAAATTAATTTCGCAATTATGAGGCGGACTAACATGTAGAATTGAGACGGCCCCCGTTTTTTTCGATTAGTCCAACAACGGACCTGTTTTTTTGATGCTAACACTAGCTGCAGAGGAACTTTGGTTGGCTAACAGCGGTTCTTTGTAACATTGGCTGTAAGCAGGCAATTCCTTGTTGGTGTTGTCACAGTATTGGTTGTTAGATTTGACCATTCAGGCACAGTTTTAGCTGTCCACCATAGAGCCAACTATGGCAAACACGTTAGACTGTGTGACGAGCAGCTGTCGCTCACAGTGAGTCACAGTGAGAGTAGAAGCAACTTCACCGCGATAAATTTGAATGTTCGACGAAGCATCCCGATACATCGGCGAAAATAATAGCATCGTAAGTACACGTTTTCTCAATCGCGATGGAAGGAGGATCTCGACTTTTCACGCAGAATCCTCCGCCGTTCCTCAAACGTTCCACGTGGAAAAAGTGCGCGCGAAAC